TGTGTTATTATTATAATTTTCCTATAGTCACACTTTACCATACAAAGTGAAATTCATCTAAACATTCACTCATTAACATATATTAAGTACTTTTAATATTTTATTCTTATAAGTAATGCTAAAAATTGAAAATTTTCAGGGTGTGGTGTAACATGACATTTATTCCAGCACTCTAGAGGCAGAGGCAGAAAGATCTCTTTGAGAGAAGGCCAACCTCTTCTACATAGAGTGTTTCAAGTCAGTTGGAGTACAGGGAGACCCTATCTGAAAAAAAGGTTGAAGTTCTGCCTCCATTATTCTAAAGAATATGTCTATTGAATCAAAGTGTACAAAATGTTCATCTCCCTTAAATTATGTGACCATACATATTTCCAAAGACACTACACCATTCTATGGGACAATTAATAACGTGAGGCCACAACATCTCTGTTCTAAAACTCTTATGATGTTATTATTTTATGAGGAATGATTCATAAAGTTGAACTCCTAGCAGATGCTTGACACACAATGGTAAGCAGAATTGGGGATGTTTATTTGTTAAAGTAGCAAAAATTTCCTTTCCTAAGTGTTTTCAAGTGTGCAAAAGCTCAACATTCCAAACACTGATAATACTTACCAATTGCAAAATTTGTTTTCATTGTTTGCAGTTATTTTTGATATTTTGTAAGAAGTTTCATAGGAATGATTATTCCTTTATTTATAGAACCAGAAAAATTGTTCAGTTCCTCACTATTTCAAGTTTCCAGGCCATGATTTCTATGAAAATCTTGTATACAGCATATGAAGTTTGAGATTTTCAGACTAGTTACAAGAGTCGAGTTCTCCAGCTTATAATCACAATTGATAATCATAAGATCTTTTACTTCTTCAGATAGTAGACTCTACAATCTTCTTACAAAACGTGAATTATTATTGATTCATTTTGTGGTACCAATAAAACATTGAAACAATTTCAAAAATGCTTCCTTTGTTGATTGTTATTGTGTTAGCTTCCTAAACTCCAGCGTGAGGAAATCATTTCTTTTGTCTGTCTTTGTATTTTCATTTTTATTGTATTCAATTTCATATTTTCATTAAAACATATTGGATTATAATTATGGCACTACTTGGATTGACTCCCTCTTTGTTTCAGAAAGTATTTTATTTAATCTGTTACCTTTATAGATACATATATATTGAGCTTCTTCCTTCATTGTGTTAATTTAATATAATTATAAGCTTTCAGATAAATGAAAATGTATAAACTCAATTTTTAGATGTTATCCTCTGTGAAACTACTTTTCCTTTCCCCTGTAAGTTCAAAAAACCTTTGTTGTATGCTCCAAATAAAAGAAGAATTGGTCATTCTTTTGTGAAATGAACACATTTCTCAGTAGAAAAGCTCTACAATTTTACATTTCTGGAGTTCATTTAAACAGAGCTCATGTTCTATCCATGGAAAGTCTGTGATGAGCAAATCAAGACCTTTCAACACCTTAACGGTCAGATACTGACATTACTCTTCCTTCAAAGTGATAAAAGAGAAACGCCCTCTCCTGCTTCCCTGCATCTAGAATGCAGGCACATGACCTGAGCAGCAAGACTAGATACTCCCCTAACACCATAGCTCAGAGAAGAGCGCTGTGGGAAAGGAGTACCTAATAAACAGTATTCATTTCTAAAGCCATAGGCTAATGCATTCGGTTTTGTAAATGGGTCTGTAGGTGTAGAAACTAGTGCCAGAATCTTCAGAATATTCAGTTCCTGAGGTCATCTGTGTCAGCAGCATGGGCTGTGCTGAGCTGTTCATGGCCCTGGGATCATCACTTCCAAGTTTCATTGTCTGCCAACACAAGAGACTCTGTGGTACCAAGTGTTTAAATAAACTTTTTTTTTTCTTTAAGACAAAGCCTCCCTGTATCCCCAGCTGGCCTGGAAATATCTATCTAGATTAGCCTGGCCTTGATCTCAGAGAGGTCTCCCTGCCTCTGCCTCCAGAATGCTGAGATCAAAGGCATGTGCCACAATGTCTGACTAATTAAACAGTATTTTTTAATTTAAAGAGAAATATGAAAAAAACTACCAAAATTACATACAGGTAGAAAGAGCATACAGCAAGTACAGTATTATTTTTATAACCTTATAATTCAAGGATTTGGTGACACCATTAATAGCCAAAGAAGAGGTGGAAGGAAGACTTAGTTACAAATGAAATGTCTTAAATTCATTTCTCCTCGTGCTACATTCCAAATCAAGCTTACCTTCCTTACCAGTGAGGAAATGAAATGGTCCTCAATGTGCCCTGCTGGCACATGTTTCCTTCTTTGCTTCAGTGTCTTCCATATTTCGCCAATAAAACACATCTGTATTCATTTGCCTAAAATCTAATGTGTTGCTATTCTGAGCACTTGGTCATCAAGTAACATCTATGCCAAAGCATCATTCTTTGTGTAAGCTGGGTTATTCCCTCATGCTGAGAACAGGATTCTGAGTGAGCAGGTGAGCTGAGAGGTATCAGGGCTCCACAGAGAGCTGCAGTTTCTTAAGTTCTAGTTACTGTCAAACGTGACACAACATTACTAAAAACACATTTCAAGAAGAAATAGTGTGTTATATTTGCTTTGGGAGACAGACTTTCTCTTAAAATTGTTTTACTGTTTAAAGGAGCTTTGCTAAAGAATGCAGATTTGCCTTCAGGAAACATGAACATGGATGAGCAGTGTTTTGAACAATCACTTCCTGACTAGCATGATAGCCTGAGGTGAAGGAAATAGGAACAATATGTTTCTTTTGAAATCTAGTGTATTGGTTTACACAAAAGAATTCTCATATTCTGTGTTCGCTTAAAAGTCATCAGTCTTAGAC